ATACTTGCTATTCTAAAATGTTTTACAAGTGCGTTCAGCTAGCTACAAAACCATGTTTAACCCACCATTTTATTCGGAAAATACCTGTATCGCACAAAGTCAGGAATATATATGACAGTTGTTTTCCATGCATTCCGTTTGTTGATATGGGCGAGCATTTGATTTTATCTGGTTTCATGGAGTTCCCCCCTTTTTTAATTTAACTTGGAGGTCTACTACTACTAGGGTGTGTTTAACGACCTTGACTACCCGTGAGGGTCTCGCATGGTCGGTATTTTTGTTAATATTTTTTTACTGAAGGAAAAAATCCGCATTTAAAATCACATTCAAAGTTGGTTCGCTGTTAAACTCAAAGAAAGTTTATGCATGAAAGAGGAAGTTTCAAATTCGAGAACAACTTGTTCAATCTAAAATGTATACCTCTTTGAATGTCAGCCCAAGTTTCCTGAAATATCAGCAAATTCGTTCCTTCAGTATTTTATAATCATTGTTAGCGTCATAAGAATAAACATGTAAATCATTTTACAAGTATATTGTAATCTTGTTCAAGTTATACTTAGTATATAAGTCTCCTGCTTGATATGAAGTTAAAAAAAATGTTTTGATAATGTAAATCATATATCATTAATATGTGATTTGTTATAGTGTTAATGTATTTTAAATTTCCTATAAATGCTTATGGTGTTGATAATTACTGTTTGAGGTCATTTACAACATACTATAAGAATAAGAATATGATTTATCTGAAGATACAATAAGTCGGAATTAAAAACGTCCGGCGTCGAACGAACTCCTCAAATATCGTGTATGAAAAATCACATTATTGACTTGACAAGACACTAATGCAATGCTAATTGCGATATTATCCGTCGATTTATTTGAGCCATTTCTAAAGAAAAAAGTCTATAAGAAGAGAGTGATATATGTTTGTTTAAAATTGCAATTCCAATATAAAATTTACAAAATTTTGATAAATGTATATACATTTATAATTTATACTGGAATTGCACAGATTTTAAACAAATAATAAGATCATTTGCCTTACTCTATCTTTAGACTTGTGGTTTGGGTTTTCTTTGTGTTTTTTACAAGGATAAAGTCTTAGATATCTTTTGCACAAAAAGTGTGAAAATGCCTCCAATTGGAGAAACAGTTATTTTTCCAACTTTTAAAAAATCTTTACAAACTGGTTTGTCCTTCTGTTGACATTTCTTAACCTATGAAAAATCATTTGTAAGACAACAAGCTTAAATGTGTTCTTTTCATGTTTACTCTATCCAAGATATGACGATCATCTACATGAATTAAATTGAATAAGAGGCTAATATATATACAGAAATGGCCCTGTTTTCTTTATTTTTTCTGTTTTGCTGATAGTTGCATAACGACTATACCGTGAAACATTTTAATCATATCCAAGACGAGAAATATATATAAAACAAGATGTTGAGTATAACTCAATGAGACAGCAACCAAATGACAATAATAACACAAAACATCTTGGAGAAACTGTTTAAATATTTGCTATACATTATAACGACATACTGAGACGGATTATTAACGTGCTAGCTCACAAGATGATAATGCACTTTCGATAGTCTTTTAGATTATAATTTTTTATCAAACATTAGAATATGAGGAAAAGACTTTACAATGGGGCAATCAAATGCCATAAGTAAAAAAAAAACATACCGAGACAACACCACTGCCAAGCAAATTTGATATTTGACCTTTATGTGTTCTCTCCGATGCAAAACCTGAAAGAGGTGAACGGCTAAACATTTGCTTTAGAACTATGTAGCATTTTTTTGTTATTTTTAGAACTTTTGCCAGTCATTACTATTTTTATCTCATCGTCAAAGCAGGGAAATATTTATGTTATATAAAGTACATCTCTCATGCAGATTCTATTTCATGTTTCGTTTGTTTTATAATCACAGTTATAGCTGGGTTTTTTTTCTTATTAAAATAAACTGTAAATTTAAGGCACATTTTTAGACTCCAGTTTGGACATGTTTAAAGCTCTCCTGATCAGACGAAATTGTTACCATTGTTACCGTTGCATCGCCTAAATAAAAGGTAGTTTACCTATGTTCAAGTCTTGTAAATCCATTTTGAAAATACAAATCAAGTGAAAACATCTGAGGAAATCTTATAAAGTCTAAAAGGAGCGAGAGCGGATGCGTTGACAAGGTAACTGCTATTCATGCGTCACCTGCCATGCGAACACAGACTATAAAAGTGTAAATACATATAGTTTCGTTCAATACCTCAAGGACTACAAGATGAAAAGATAAAAAAATCGCCTTTTATTCAATTGTCTTAGTATTCAATTTATTGATGACAAAACCAGTCTCTGTTTTCTGTCGGTTTGTCATCTAAGGCCATTTTTGTAAAAAAAGTTTAATACTTAGAACGAGCAATCAGACATATAATCCGTTTAGTTGGGTTGTTAGTGGTTTTTTTTTATAATCATTCTATATTTTGTACTAAAGTGCCTATACAAACTACATATTGGTTGAATGGTCTTTCGGTTATCTTAGGATAATTTTCTAAATAATGCCAATACGAGTGTGCTAAACTAAAGCTTTTTCGCGAGTAGACCAAAGCAGAAATGGGCAATAAAAAAATATATATTTTAGTACATTAGTGAAAGATGTCTTTTCATCCATTTGAATATAAGGTTTTATTTCTTACATTCCGTTGTTTACATCCCGAAGATGACGACGACAGTAGACCCAGAGCGATGTATGATGGGATAAATATTGTAGTAACAATCGCATTAAGACTTTTCATTGGACAATTAAACCATCGACAATAAAAGCAAATGTACACATTTCCAACCGGGAAGATTATCCTTTTCGAATGACCCAATCATTCTGTCCGTCTTTGGTTTTAGTTCTCTTTGGAAACAGGATGGTTGGTATTGTGTTTGGGGTCATAGGTTTTCATAAGTTTATTTGTCCCAAGGTCAGACATACCCGCCAAGCTTTTCAGGACCACGCCCATCATTATACAATATAGTTATTGATCGAGCGTCTAAATGCCAATACTTAACATATTTGCTAGATGAGAAAGGGGTAGGAAACACCTAAGAGACCATAAAAATCACCAGTACAAGGTAAACTGACACTTCTATGGTAAAAAAACGAAAACGACGATAAGACATTCATCATAACACAACATAGAAAACTAAAGAAATCCCCTCAAAACAGGCGTCACCACGGGCGCTCTCTGGAAGGATAAGCCAATCCTGCTCCGTATGGGAAAAATGTCGTTTTGCTCGTGGCAAGTACACATTCTGTGAAAAATCTCATAAAATTAATGTGTATTTTCTTATTTCTTACGGTACGAATCAGAAATTTTCTGTCGAAGCCCAATGTTTACTTCAAGGCTCAAATCATGGAAGTTGTATATTTAGTTCACATAAGAAGAGTTAAAATTTGGTCCAGTTTATGTCGTTTTGTTTGCTCTTAGATTACACAATAAAGTTTATATTTTTGATTTTCCACATTTTTCACTTTGAACCCGATAAGAAAACACGCGGGTCCATTTTGCTAAATTAATATTCAATCGATTATCACTATGTGATTTTCATAAAAAATTACACAATTTGATTAGGCTACAAACAAAAAGCGTGGAGGTTACCTATATTTTTAGGGAAATGGTGGACGCTCTCATCATCATTTCCGCACATTTACAACTGTTTCCAACATACAACAGACACGTGCAAGGCACGGTAATAGCCGAAACAAAACGCTAAAAAAAACAAATATTCTGCACTATTGTCAAATTCCTTCCTTTCGGTTGACATATTTTTTGACACATCATTATTTTGAACCTTCTAGGTGTTCTTTATTTCTTAAAGTGTTTTAAATAAAACTTTAATCAGTATACATTTTCTCTAAACATTCTATTTAATTTCTTGGTCTGAGATACATGTAACAAAATCTTGAACAATATATGTAAATTATTTAATACCGTGGTAAATAAAAGTTTGTCTGTAATCTAAATTGACAAGTTTAAGATATCGCATACATAATTTTAACACCTTAGTATTGTTTGTTTTCATTTCCTATGTCAAATTTCATTGCCGTAACGTATTTAACTGCTAATCTAAAAATTCCTTGACAGTAATTGTAAAAAGGTGACAATCAAATTTGTGCAAATGACTTTAACAGGTACCCCGAAGGCGTGCTAATTGATAACGTGTTATCAACAATATAATGTTAATATTTCGTTTTGTAATGAAACCTTTCTGATTTTCTATTTTCCAAAAAAGATAATTGGAAAATCGGGTAATAAAACAGTTGGAGTGTGTAAAAAATGTCTACAGGCAAAAACAAATTTACTAAAAACACCTATTTTGTTCAGTTTTTTACTTTTTTCTCTTGTCTCATCATCCATTGTGTTTCGACTTTGTTTTCTTTAAGTTCAGGTAAGGCGTTAATCTCTACACCTTCGTTAAAAATAATATGGAAGTCAAAATATATTTTGTTTATTTTTTTACGATGATGAAAAGCTGCCTATAGATTTGTAGTCTACACACTTAATTTTCTAAAAAAATCTTAAATCTTATTTTTTCTTTTGCATTCGCGTAGCATTTGTAGTTTACTATGTTTTTTTTTATTTCAACCATTTAGATTGTACCCATCAATGTCAATGTTTTGATTAATATACCATTATTATCACTACGATTTTTTTAAAGTATGTACTTAAATTTATTTATTCTTTATGTCAGGTATATCTGTATTTTATAATTTGATGGAGTTTTTTTTATATTAACCCAAAACACATTCAAATATTAAAAAACTGTATTATACAGATATAATTGTATCATCTTTTTTATTTATATAATGCTGCGGTAATAATCGAGAACAAATTTGTCAATAAATCATTTACTCGTAAGAATAATGGCCAAATTTATTTGATAAATTGCACACGTATCATCAAGTTTCGGTATTAAACCAACCTTTGCCAACTCATTTTGTTTGCATCGGAAGAAATAAGCAGTTGCAAACTATTACAATGAGAAAATTGATAGTTTAAAAGAAGGCACGGGGATTTATTTTATCTGCAGTTGTGAGTCGCGAAAACTTCCAATTTAACTGTGTCAGTAAAATTCGATTGTAAATCTTAAGTGGGCTGGTACAAATGAGTTTTAATTCTGAACAAAGTACACACTAAGAATTTTAGTCGTTTAGATCACGTCGTCAGCTACCGATGAACATAACGACATTCTCCATTTAAAAAAAGTTTATAGGAAATTGTCATTTGTTTCATTTGCAAAACACATTTAGAATGTAAAATGTTACATTGAGATATCGAAGTGTATGGAAGATTTCTGATTTGTGGCAATAAATTATATCCGTATTTTATTGCTGTGTTGGTATGAATAGACGAACAGAGAGAGGTGTTTGATTGGCTGATCATGACAGTATTATGTTTATACCTTTTCTTGTTTCAGTCTAGAAAACGTTCGAAATTTTATCGTGAAATTCAATTTTGACAGGATATACCAACTTTGCTGTAGAATTACTGAAAATGGTGTAATACGATTTTCCTCATATTGCGTATAGCATAGAACAACAAAACAAAGTGTAGTTTCCAAAAAATATTAATACGATCACACGATGAAGAAACGTACATGAAAAAAATAAAAAATGGAAAACGATGGATTTAAAATAGCATATGAGCGGAGTGTTAATTTTGTTTCGATTTGAGTTATTTTGTGGAAAATTTATGTGTTTGTGACGTCATTGCGTCAGATTCTGCCAAGGATGAGGAATAGTGATGGAGTTATCCGGACGGGATTTATAGTCGTTCCAACTCTCATTCTGATTTTAGTACAGACGCAAAACTCGGTCGGAGTAAAATGGTTGTAAGTAGAATTTATTTTACATTTCTGCAGTTACAATTTTCACAATTATGAAAATTGTATTCGTGTTCAAAATTGTTTCAGACTATCTAAAAAGAGACATTTGCGATTAATTTGGTTAGAGTAAGAGTTATATATACTTTAATTCCAATATTTCAGTAGTTTTACTTCCTCATTTTCATACATATGTTAAATACAAATGCATAATTACGGTTGTCAATAAATAAACAAATGCTTTTGCAATAAGTCTTTAAAAAATAAATATACTGTTCTAATGCAAAATGTGCAGATATATTGTTCTCATCAGTTTTAGTGGCGACTTGAAAGTTCCAAATAGTTAATCTTAATTTAATTGAAATAATTCACAATATTCGTAAATCAAAATTATCTAATCTTAATAGGGATTTAATGATGATTTAAACAACGTAGTTTACAATAAATTTTCAGCTTTTTATTCAACTTACAAACTGATAAAACGTTTGTTTTAATGATGGACTTAATTTTGTCAGCGCTGAACAAATTAACAGTGCAACTAAGCATATGATTTCCGTCGAAATTTTAAACATTTAAAAAACAACATAAACTTAAGTCCAGATACCAAACGTTATCACTTGTATAATACTAGTGTAAATCTTTTTATCTCGACAACCCGTTACCTCGAAGATGACAATCTGCAAGTTTGGATCATTAATTAATTACACACGATTGAAAAATTGATTTGACCGCTAATTCATTGTTGCTAGGTCATCTTATATATGAGCAGCGGTACATGTAATAATAGCTGGATGAAACACGAAAATTTTGTGGTCCTTAATGTTCTATCTATGCATGCTTTTGAAAAAAGAAAATATTTCAGTATTTTTACTTTAAAAGAGAAACATAATATGTGATTGTATTGCTATCTTTAACGAGGTAGAATACTTGCATGTAATCATATTTTTGCTTCGTGTTTTACTTGTTATCACCTTGTTATTTTTTAATATTTACATGTACATGTTCGGTTCCTTAAAGTCATAGACGGGTTTTGTGGTTAATTGCTTTTCTCTTGTTTATTTCACATGTGGATTATGGGATGGTGTAAGAATACATAAGTTAACAGTACAGATCTTTGATAATGGATTTCTGAATACTAGTACATGAAATGAATTAAAAAAATGTTTGTTTGATATTTAATAAAAAGAAAACAAATGAGGTGCGAGCGGACATCAATTTTAAAACGGTTTCTTTATATGTAAAACTTCAGACGTTTGAAGATATATCAGGGGTTTTAAGATTGCATTAGCACAATATTGTTCAAAAGAATATATATATAAACGGTAAATTTAAATAATATGAAAATAACTCTTTTTATCAGGAAATCTTTTTTGACAAGTAGACCCTACTGCAGAGATAATACTAATTATAATGCTCCTATGACCTTAAAAAGATGTTTAATAATTTGTTTAAGAGATTGAAAATGTTTCGTTGCCGTGTAATTTAAAATGTTTAACTATTTAGAAAATAAAATATTGAAGTCATTTATAATAAAAATCAATACATGTATAATATTTGTGACAAGTGTTAGTATTGTTGTTTCATACATCACCAGAAATGTTAATTCACTGAGCTGATGTTATCTTGTTAGTGACCACAAAATACATGTACTTCACCAATTTGATAAAAATATGCGATACCAACAGGGGTTCAGAACTCAAATCTCCAGTGGTATTAAAAGCATTAGAAAACATGACTGCATTATTTGAAAAATGTAATTACTATATGACAGCAGAGTGGAAATAAATCCAGGCATGATAAAAAAAAAACCTTCGAGTTGCATGATAATACTTGTTACTCCAGGCTTCCGTTGGTCATTGTCTGGTCTCTGCCTTTTTAACATTGTCGAATTGTTATCTGCTACAATAAGAAATGCAGCACAACTATAGGTAAACCTTGACTAGTTAAGCAAACATAAGTACAAATGTACTAAACAATTACTAGTTATAAATGTATTAAGCTATAATATCATCATTATTAAAACTGTTAAATGAATTATTTTAATATCATGGAATCGATGTAAACAGAAGGAAACTTTTTCGCTCCAGAATTAGAATTAACGAATTAACAAGAATAGCTTCGTACCAAAGAAAATGTAAACATAACATTCGTACCACGTCAACTAACGTCAGTTTTCTTCTGTTTTAAACTGCCTAATATCGACATATCCACTGCAAGGGCGATATATTTACACTCCGTACACCAAAATCGACTTCTCTTCAGATGGCGTTTTACTTACGGAGAAATAGAAGTGCTAACCACAAGCTGTGATAATTATTGAGGTAATAACATTTTTAGTAAATTAAAGAAGTTAAACATTGATGCATTTCAAGTTAAACGAAAATTGAAGATCTCTGAGACATTACTTGAAAAGAAATTAAAACGGTTCTTTTACTAAGTAATTTAAAGTGACATCATATAAATTACTGCATATCATAAATATGCATTTGTATTATGAAGTCTTTCCCCATTGTACAACCTCAGAAATGAACTATCCTTTGATCTTTTGTCAAAACTAATTTGTTTTGCCTTCAAAATCAGTCAGGGTACATTAATTCAAACTATAGAGAGGAAAAAATAGATGAGATGAAAATCAATGGGATACAACAGAAAGGGAGGAGTCAGCAAGAAAAGGAAACGAACATCACAGTATTCCGTTATAAGTAATGAGGAAAAATTCGTTAAATTGAAGCACTTAGACTGTTTAATTATCTCACTGAATATTTGCACGAAAAGATTTAAAACACTTGTTCCCTACTTGAGAAAAGGGTATTTGTTTGTCCAAATAATAAAGTTCATTCCGAGGGCCTTGTCTGACTTGTAAAAAAGGTGAGGGCAGATAATGAAATTATTTTCAATTTTCATTGTACAAATCATAGACGGGATTTCTTGAGAAGAATCTTACACTGATAAAAGACAGTGACGTTTCGTGGTGTTACTTATTGTTAGGTATATTAAAATAGGCACATTTATACATTTCAATGTAATATATAGAAAATATTTAATCGATTACATAATTGATGTAATGACGAAATTTTAAAATTCTGTAAAAGTTCGAAAATTTTGGAACGAGTAAAGTATGAGAACCAAGAGCATCGAATTCGATTTTCGACTTCGAATTATTCATACACGTGAGATAATCAAGCTGGGTTCAAATTAAAATGTTTCAAAAGCATCAAAATACAATCACGACACTTTTGTCTTTACTATTCATATTTCGACAGAAAAATGACATTTCTTGGATTTTAAAGGTTTTTTTTTTATGGAAAATGACTCAGATGATTAACTTATTCTTATAGCCCTTCAGATGGAAGGCTATGGAAAAGAGTGTTAATCGTATTTTTAAAAGTTTTTTTCCATTTAATCTTTATGATTTAAATTGAAATAAAAGGTCATCTGAAGTCATAATTTGAAATAAATATACTGAATAAGTTTAGAAATAATCAGCAAACACTTACCCATTATGATTACAAATGGATATTGAAAAGTAAAACGCATTATATTCAGGATAAGTTTTAAAAATCTAATAAAATACTTTTCTTTATAATAGAAGTTTGTTTATAAGATTGGCCAACTGTGATTGTAAAATACAAAATTTCTGGCATTGAATTTCCCCCTATTGATAACAAAAATGACTTTTATCTTTTTCCCAATATTGTCCATATATTGTGCATAAAAGTCGAATGCACAGACATTGAAAAATAAGGCAAAGTTCCCTAATGTGGCCATTAGCGAGCCAATTCACCAGAACCGGATAAAATCATCGCCCCGCCACATTTTCAACAACATTGATACCCCTAGGTGAAGTTGACCAAACATACTATTATCCTTCATTTGTTTCTTTTGTTCACGAAAAGGTTTAGACAAACACACGCCTTTTATGACTTTAACTTGGGTACAAGTGATTTTATTGCTGGACATTGTTTCGCATTAGGGCAAAAGCGTCCGAAATAAAAGGCTTTTTGTACCCCGCGGGGGCAATATCAATGTCATAAATTCAATTTTGATTGTTTAGATTTGATTTTGAGATTAAAGGTATCAAACATTGTAAAGGTGTGAATTGCTATACAATAAAATGGGACATTAAAATGATAATAATACAACTGAAACAATTATCCAGCAATTACGAAAACCGCAATATTTTTGTCTATTCAAATAAAGTTGGAGTTCAAGTGGGGAACAGGGGATCGTCAATAGACGCGAATACCAACAAGACATCCGACAAACCTGCTTCAAATGAATGTAAAATGCCATTTTTATTAATAAGGAATTACAATTATATGATTATCTAGGCGGAAACTTTATAACATACGCAGGGGGTACAATTATTTAATATTCTTTAAAATAAAAAGTGTAATGTCAACATTTCAACAAACAGAATTTACATAAAGAGAACAAAAATGACAATTTTATGTACGAAATAAAGAAGTGACGTCAAATAACAAGACCAACGCGCTTATTGTTTTCAATAATAAGTACAAGAACCAAGCAACCGCGTTTAACCGAGGAAAAAAAAAACCAGAGGCAATACGAGTCAAACCAAAAGTACACATGCATACATGCAATTAAGATAAGGTGTGTGCAGACAGAGAACACTACGAAGAAAAAGGCTTTTGTCAAAATAAACTCTTATGACACCAAATAAAAGAGCAAATATTACAATCCTGCATCGCACGATACACCCGTCGCATTGCATAATAGTTAAAGAAGGAAAATAGGTAAATATCGACAAGGATCAAATCGATTAAAAAATTGTGAAAGTCAAATTTGCCTACCTTCCTATTTTTAATCAAAACGATTGAAGTGTAAAGTATAGACAAGTCCTAAGACTAAAAGAATCAAGACAATAGATTTTTTTAACGAAATCTCATCAGAATCACAGGACATGTGAAAAAGTCTTTTCACAATACTACAGAAGGCTTTGTTTAATTGCTGTTTGATTAACATGACGTCGTTTGTTTCAATATGCA